CCTAGTTGTGCAGTGGTTTCCTCTTTCCTGGGTCAGCCATTCTGTGCAGAGGTTCTGTCCCCTGCCTACTCCAATATACTCCCACCCACGCAAAGTGGACAGCTGTGGGGAATAAAAAATATATGTTCCTTAGGGGCAAGTATTGGAGTCAGGCTGGGTTAGTTCCTTTTAAAAAATTATAATTTTTTATTGTTGGCAGTATTACAGATGTCCCCCATTTCCCTCCTTTTTGCCCCCCTCCACCCAAGCCCGGCCCCACCCCAGGCCTTCCCCACACTATTGTCTGTGTCCTTGGCTATGCATATATGCATATATGTCCGTCGGCTAATCTCTTCCCGTCCCCTCCACCCCCTCCCCTCTGAGATCCCTCAGTCTGTTCCATGCTTCCATGCCTCTGGACCTGTTTTGTTCGTCAGTTTATTTTGTTTATTAGATTCCACATATAAGTGAGATCATATGGTATTTGTCTTTCTCTAATTGGGTTATTTCACTTAGCATAATAGTCTCCAGGTCCATCCATGCTGTTGCAAAGGGTAAGAGTTCTTTCTTTGTTATAGCCGCACTGTGTAAATGTCCCACAGCTTTTTTATCCACTCATCTACTGATGGGCACTTGGGCTGTTTCCAGGTCTTAGCTATTGTAAATAAGGCTGCTATGAACACAGGGATGCATATATTCTTTCTGATTAGTGTTTCAGGATTCTTAGGATCTATTCCTAGAAGTGGGATCACTGGGTCAAATGGCAGTTCCATTTTTAATTTTTTGAGGAGCCTTCATACTGTTTTCCATAGTAGCTGCCCCAGTCTGCATTCCCACCAGCAGTGCACTAGGGCTCCCCTTTCTCCACACCCTCGCATGCGGTTTGTTGATTTGTTGATGGCAGCCATTCTCAGAGGTGATATCTCATTGTGGTTTTAATTTGCGTCTCTCTGATGATTAGCGTCTATCTGATGATTAGCGACTCTCTGATGATTAGCGATATTGAGCACTTTTTATGTCCTCTTTGGAAAAATGTCTATTCAGGTCTTTTGCCCATTTTTCAATTGGATTGTTTGTCTTTTCCCTCCCATTCTGATAGGCTCTAGAGGGGTATGTGACCTCTTCCTTACAAAGTTGGTGACATAAGACTAACATAGGAAATAAGCAAATAAAAAAGTCAAGCTAAAGCTGATTTTATTGCTATTTGGAGGTTGGAGCAGTTGAGTAACAAGGAATGGGACTTAGGACAGCTGAGGCCTCCATGACCTGGGATTTCCCAGGTAGCGAGGACAGGGGTTGGGTTTACAGACATTGGGAAAAAGCAGAAAATGAAGGGTATGTGAGGAGACAGGGAGGAAAGTATACTGTACACAGGGAGTAATGCGGCTCTGCTGTGGAGGCAGGATAGTTTAGACGTAACGTGTCAGCATTAGAGAATCAGAGAAGGCTTCCGAACAAAGGAGGGACAGGACATAGTGCTGAAGGAAGATCTGGTCTGGCAGAAGTGTGCATTTTAAATTGAATCAAGGATCTTGTGCCCTGGCCAGTTTGGTTCAGGGTTAGAGCATCAGCCCGAGGACCAAAGGGTCATGGGTTCCATTCCCAGTCAAGGGCATGTACCTCGTACCTCGGTTGCAGATTCCCCGTCCCGGGCCGGTCACATGCGGGAGGCAGCCAAGCCATGTGTCTCTCTCACATTGATGTTCCTCTCTCTCTCCCCCTCTTCCCTCCCGTCTACTCTCTCTAGAAATCAATGGAGAAAATGTCCTCAGGGAAGGATTAACAAAACCCAACCAAACCTTGTCCAGTGCCTGGCACATAGAAGACACTCAGTAAGTGGGAATTCTTATTATCGGGTATTCAGTATTCTATAACAATGGCTTCTAGAAAACAGCTGCAATCAGTAACCTCTGTCCTTTAATATAGCATATGTAAGCATAAAACAGAATAGGATTCTGAGACAATGGATGGGAGCTTCTCTCAAATAAATTACAGCAAAGCTTCACCAAGAAATTATGATGCATAGAGGGGAATACAGCTAACTGAATATACTAGAGACACCTGAAGAAGCTTTGGTTTATCAGATCATCGTCTGGTAAGATCTTACTGCTTCTCTGTAATCACAGTAATGAAAACATGCAAACTCCCGGAATGCTTCACATGTAAAGCTTTTATTTTGAAAAATAAAATACAAAAGTCATTAAGTTGTAAATGTATACAGTAATCCCTCAACTTCTCAGAAACAATACAATGAATTATTTAAATAATTAAGATATTTAGTATTATCCACACCGATACATTTAAACAGGTACAAGTGTTCTACAAAACATTAGAACATGTACAGACGACCTAGTCCAAGATAAAACTGCCCAATTTTGCTTACAGAATCCCAATTTTAAACTCTCCCCTTGAAAACAAAGTTTGGAATCTGATAAGACAAGACAAGGACCAGCGCAGTTTTAACAGCAAGCACGCACCCCTTCTGGGCTCCGTATCTGCTGGGTTGTGCATGCAATTAGAACCAAGAGCGCTGTGCTCAGGAGACAGATTACTCAGGAAGGTCCAAATGTGTTCTGACATTCCGCCCGCTCAGTGGGAGGAGTCTGGCTAACGCACGGGAGATGCAGGCCACGGTACACACACTCCATGGATCTCAGCAGGTGACAGCCAGCCCTGGAAACATCCCTTCTGTTGAAAAGGCATCAGTCTTCCCTAGGGCAGACAGGAGGAATGCGGTTACTGGTGTGGAGTCACGGTTCCTTCTTCCCCTGCACCACCCGGCCTCCTGCCTATTGCGGTCTGGCATAAGCCAGGCAGGTGGACAGGGGGATTAACAACTATGAGAACAGCTGCCTCTGGACTACTGGAGAGGCACACTCTTCCTCAGGCTGGGATGCCTGAGATGCCTGCCAGTAGCTCTAATGTGCAAAGCAAGCAGATGGCAGCCAAAACAAGGGCCGCTCCTGCCCATTTCTAAATGACTGCAACTGTCATAGCTACTGCACCAATTGAAGCTACTGCGGGGGCACTGGTAGGGACATCAAATGTCCAGGGGTCCAACATGTTGACTCTTCTTTTGAGAAAGTGGATGCTGAGGTTCTTTAGAGGAAGCTTTAAATAACACAGTGACTGTCATTCAAATGCCAAAGGACCCAAAAGACAAGAAGACAGACTAGCATCTGTCCTGAGATGCTCTGCTGTCTTCCTAGCATGTGGGCACCTACAGGCTTCGATAAGCAAATAAGAGTGAAATGCTGCTGTGGAGCCAACCTGAAGGCTGGGATCAACTTGACACTGCATCTTACCTAGTAAAACAAAGACTATACTTTCAGGGATCATTTCTATAGTTTTTTACTAGAGAGGTTTGCCTGGACGTGTCTTGTAAAACAGCTGGTCAATAAATAAAGCCCTGTGTGTGTGTTTTGGGGAGGGGATTTATACATTTTCAAAGTATTTTGGACTAACAAAATTATCCAAGGCTAATAACTGCTGTTAGATATGCATACCCACAGAGTATAAGTCTGACATTTAGCATTGGCTCCTTAGCAAAAAGGCAACCAGAAGTCCTGAAACCTATTCATGTTATTGGCTCACTGCCATCCGTGATTTTGACGTGGCATAGCAGTGCTCGTATGCTTTTTCTATCTATGATCCACTAATATACAGCAAGTCATAAAAAAATCCTGTTCAAATAATTCAGTCTCAATTTTCTCATCAGTAGAATGGAATAATACCACCTACTCGCCAGAGTGGCTTGAAACTTGAATGAACTCATTCAAATACATATATATAAAACATATATTTATCACAGATGCTGTTATACATATATGTCATATAATATATCATTTATATACTATTTATAAATTGCTTGTTATTTTATGCTTAGTATGGAGTATGCACTTAATACATGGTTACTACATAAAATTAAAATAAAATAGCAAGCAAAAATCAAATTTTCAAAAAGCTTTTCAAGTTCCAAATGATCTAAGGCATCTCCACATTATTCAGAGCAAAATAGGATCTTCAGAAAGTGTGGGAGAGGGATGTGACCTCTGAACAGGACACCAGGAAGTCTGGGTTCAGAAACCAGCTTTGCCACTAAGTAGCGGGTGTCCCTGGACATGGACTTGATGTTTACTCAAATCTTTTAAAGGGGGCTTATAAGGGATGGCTGGCCTAGCCCAAACTGTAGCCTTTAGTTACCAAGAGACAACATAGGTTACTAACAAGACTCCTAATACATTAAAATCAGCAAGAGCAGGCTTGAAAAACAAACCAACCCCCCAAAATATTAGTGCAAAATTATGTGCATGTCCAGCACACAGAGAAAGCAGCGCAGGGTGGTGGAAAAAGCACTGGTGTTCTTCAGCCCTGGGTTCCCCCACCTGGGATGTGGCCTTGACAAATCACCTACTCTCTCTAGGATCAGTTGCCTTATCAGCAAATAGATGATTGAGGCCTTATCAGCAAATAGATGATTGAGGTTGATGTTCTCCAGGTTTCTTTCAGCTAAAATATTTTATCATTTATCACATTGAAAACAACAACTAACTGTTATTTTGCTTACTATGTACCAGGCTTTTTGCAGACATTATTACGGTTAATTCTTACTACAACTCTCTCATTAATATCTGGTAATATCATTTTACAGATGAGGAACTAAGAAACAGAGGAGTTAAGTAATTTGCTCAATACCACTCAGAGCCAAGATTCCAACCCAGGCAGACGGACTCCAGAGCTGTGCTCTCCACCCTGGCCCCGCTGCCCTCCTGTGAGAGCCTAAGCAGGGAAACCCGAAGGCCAAGCAATGTTCCCCAACCCTCACCTCATGTATGTAAGAGGTTTCCGGCTCTGCTACTCCACTTGCTCAGTCTGTCAAAGAAAGCAAAAGATGTTTTAAAGTCCTCAAAGTTGGTCAGCACAAGAAGTGAATGCTCTGGGTTTTTTTAGATTAATTTTTTAAAAAGTAAAAGTTATAAGTTTCAAACTCTCACCATCTTTCCCAATTTGGGGGACTCTGCAGTTGAGGGACAATGGCTGTGTATATTGTATTCACAAGTCTTCTAGGCACCAACTGAGAACAGTTAAAGGCCATGGATGTGTATGTAATAAGAACAAAGGGTAGCTGTACATTTTATTTCAAGGTACAGAATCAGAAGCCTGGGGCAGATACACAAGGCAGGCTCCTTATATGTGGAATACTATGTGGGTTTGGAAGACCTCAAGCAGCCGGATTCTAGTTACTAATAAAGTATTTCTCTAGTTTGGGAAGACAATGAGCTCCCTGAAATTAAGACAGTATTAAATTATTGTTAAAACCAACAATGACCAGAGGCCAATCTTTCTACTACCAGCACATATTATCTCTAAAAAGATTACTTCAACGCTAAGAGCCCATCTATTACACATCAAGAGGAGAAAACAGAGACAGTACCTGAGGTTTTTCTTTAAGAAATTCAGGTAGCTGAAATTCTCCTTTATAGACCTGGAAAAACAAAGCCAGTATGAGTCTAAGCACACAGGCACTGTCATCATCACTCCCGAATGCCTGCGATGCCTGACGGTGCGGGCTGGGTGCCCGTTCCTGGCCAGTTTGAGAATGGGAGGGAAGCCTGTCAGTTCATGAGCAGCCAGGGCTGCAGGGCTGAGTGAAATCCCCATTCGCCCTGATCCCACCTGCCCCACGAGTGCCTGAGTGCTTCCCAAGGTGGGCGGCCGGGAGAGGGCTCAGGGCATCACATGAAGAAGAAAAAACAGCAGCCCAGCAGTCCAAGTTCCATTGTTTTAGCTGAGAGAGCGAGCCCCAGGCCATCTCTCTCAAGCGACCAACACAGAATCCCCACAATTCAGGAACAGGCTCCTCCTGATTTCCTTTTCAAATCTCAAACCTTAAAACCCTGGATTTAGCCCAACCTTTCTTAATGTACCCAAGACTCCCATAATAATTTGAATAGTAGATGATTCTTAAAATGATACTTTTAAACTCATAAAATCTTATAATTATTATTATTTTTTAAACCCCACACTAGTCACACAGCATTAAGAAGTTCTGTTATCTATTAATTTATTTATTTTATAAAATTAATTTATAATTTTAACAATTTATTCTTATTGATTTTAGAGAGAAAGAGAAACATCGATGTGAGAGAGAAGCATCGATTGGTTGCCTCCCGTACTCGCCCTGACTGGGGATTGAACCCGCAACCCAGGTATGTGTCCTAACCAGGAATTGAACCTGAAACCTTTTCTGTGCATGGGATGCTGCTCCAATCAACTAAGCCACCTGGCCAGGGCAATCTTATAATTAAAAATTTACTCTTTTCTATATGTAAAATTATGTTTCTAATGCCAGCAATTAGGAATTTTAAATAATACCATTTATAAAATAATATAAAAAACCTACACCAAATACCTGAGACTAAATCTAATAAAAGATGCATAAGACAGAAAACTATAAAACATTATTGAGAGAAATTAAAGACAAAATAAATAGAGATATACTACTTTCAGGGATTATAAGATTCAACATAGTAAAGGTGTCCATTCTGCTCAGAAGATTTCCAATCAAAATCCTAGCATGCTTTTTTCAGGAGGGTAAGGGGTAATTTGAAGCTGATTGTAGAAGTTATATGGAAATGGATAAGACCAAAACTAATCAAGGTAATCTTTTTTCTTTTTTTAAAAATATATATCTTTATTGATTTCAGAGAGAAGGAGGGAGAAATGAGAGAGACAGAAACATCAATGATGAGAGAGTCGTTGATTGGCTGCCTCCTGCACACCCCCTACTGGGGATGGAGCCGGCAACCCGGGCATGTGCCCTGACCCGGAATCAAACCACGATCTCCTGGATCCTAGGCCAGCGCTCAACCCCTGAGCCACACCCGGCGGGGCTAATCAAGGTAATCTTCAAAAGAAGAGCAAAGTGGGAGAGGACTTATTCCACCAGATATTAAGACATTATTATAGAGTTATAATTAAGCTGTATTATACAGGTATGTATGAAGACAGTAAAGTTTTGGGACTGTCAAAAAGAACACTTTCTACTGACAAAACAATTCCTATTTAGTGCAGGAAACCAAGTCCTGCATTGCTCACAAAAACAGCAAAGTTAGGAATGGAATTTCCTTTGGCGAAACGAACAGTGCTTCTGGAGATACTATTCCCTGGCACTAAGAACTGAGGGTTTTGCCTGACATCGATGGGCTAGGTATTCAGAATCCAAACCTTCCGACAGAACTCTCCCACCTCAAGCACCAAAGAAATGACAGAAAGACAAAAGTAGGCTTTTGATTTAGAGAGTGCACTGGAAATAAAAATAAAAAGAACAGCAGCTAAACTTTACTATTTTCTCTGCACCAGGTTAGTGTTAAGTAAGGGCTTCACATGTATTATCTCGTGGAGTCCCACAATCTCTGGAGGGAGGTGTTATCTTTTTAGAGAGAAAGGCACAGAGAAGTAATTTGTCCAATGTAGTGAAATGGGAAGCTACGAAGTACCATCCTCAGACTTCATTGCTCTGTTTAGACTGAAGTATGGAGGCTCCAGCAGTAATCCAGATGAGAAAGGATGGCAAGGAGGTGGCAGTGGAGGTGGCAAGTGGTAGGTTTGTGCATTTTTTTTGCTGATTACATCTAGATTTCCTAACAGATTGGATGTAGGGTGTGGCAGAGCAGAGGAGAGTCAAGGATGACTCCCAGGTTTTTGGCCTAAGCAACTACCAATTGGAAATATGAAGTTGGCATCAACTCAGTTGGGAAAGGTTCTGTGTGTAGCAGATTTTTGGAAGATCAGTAATTCGGTTTTGGATATGTAAGCTTGAGATGTCTGTTAGACAATGAATGAAAATGTCGAGTAGCCAGTTGGATATACAATTTTGGAGTTCCTGGAAGAGGTCTGGGCTAAGATATATAGATTTGAGAATCATCAACTTAGAAACGGTAGGTGAAGCCTCGGTACCTGATGAGATAACCCAGGGAGTCCGGGTGGACGAGAAGAGCAGAGGACTTAAGGCTGAGATAGGGTCAGTCAAACGTTAAGAAGTCAGGGAGAAGAAGAACCAGCAGAGATGACTAAGAAGCTGCTGATGACAGAAAAGAAAAAAATGTTAAGAAGTGGTGTCCTAGAAGCCAAGTGAAGGAAACATCACGGAGGGGGTAATCAAGTGTATCAAAAGAGACTGGGAGAGAAAACAAAAACTGGCCACTGGATATAGTACTGTGAAGGTCACTGTGACCTTGACAAAGTAACTTAAGTGGCATGGTAGTTGTGGAATTCTGAATAGAGTGGATGTAAGACAACAGAGGGGAAGGAACTGGAGACAGGGAGTACAGAAAACTTGAATTTTGATGTAAAGGGCAGCAAATAAATGGAATGGCAGTGGCAGGGCAACTGGGATCAAGAAGCGTGTGTACGTGTGTGTGTGGTGTGTGTGTGTGTGTATGTGTGTGTGTGTGTGTATTCAGCTAAAAACAAACTAAGGACATATTTGTCTATCGATGGGAAAGATCCTGCTGGGGAGCAAAATCTGATGATGCAGGAGACATGGGGAGATGGGCTTGTGCACACATGGGAGGAAATACCTTCAGATCGGAGCGTGGACGTTCACTTCTGTTACACAGACTTTCTATGAGGACAGCTGAGGGTATCAGGTCTGAAACACTTCCCTTCCTCTAGTCTCTCCAAAATCACACAATACTCTTTGGTTGAAGCCACATTCTGTAAATTTTCACTATAATTACAATATAAATATTTATATAAAATGACAGTATAAATATCAGATATTTACTTCTACACAACTTGTGTGTGTTTTAGCTGGAGTTAATAATTGCCTCATACATTTTTATAGTAATAGACTATTTCTTAGAGCAGTTTTAGGCTTATGGAAAAATCAAGCTGCAAGTAGAGTCCCCATACACTTTCTCCCCCTCTTCTACAGTTTCCCCTATCACTAACATCTTGCATTACTGTGGTACATACGTTACAATTAATGAATGGGTATTAGTACACTGTTATTAATAAAGTCTTAAGTTTGCCCTAGGGTTCACTATTTGTGTTGTACTTTCTATGGGTTTTGACACATGTATTCACCATTACAGTAGAATACAGGTTAGTTCCACTATCATAAAAATCTCCTGTGCACCATCACCTATTTATCTCCCCTTCCTCCAACCTTTTTACTGTCTCCATAGTTTTGCCTTTTTTAGAATCTCATAGAGTTGGAATCATACAGTGTGTAGTCTTTTCAGATCGGCTTTTTTCACTTAGCAATAGGCACTTAAGTTTCCCCACTGTCTTTTCGTGCTTTGATAACTCATTTCTTTTAATCACCGAATAATGTTCCATTGTCTGAATATACAGCAGTTTATGTATCCATTCACCTACTGAAGGAAATCTTGGCTGCTTACAAGCCTTAGTAATCATGAATAAAGCTGCTATAAACATTTGTGTACAGGTTTTGTGTGAACGTAAGTTTTCAATTCATTTGGGTAAATACCAAGGGGTGTGAGTGCTGGATTGTATAAGAGTATGTTTAGTTTTATAAAAAATCCTCCAAACTCGAGAGTATAATGCTAAGTGAAATAAGCCAGTCAGAGAAAGACAAGTACCACATGATCTCACTCATATGTGGAATATAATGAACAAAATAAATTGATGAACAAAACAGATTCAGAGAAGTAGAAGCATGGAACAACTGAGGGATCTCAGAGGGAAGGCGGGGGTCGGAGGGGGT